AGAACAACCCTAACCTTCCTTTTTTTTGATAACTGTCACATAAGCTAGGGCACACTGTAAGACACACACCTTCTGTCCATGTAAAGACCACAGTGTAAGAACAGAGATCAGATAGGGCCTCCAACTCTCCATGGTGTCACCAGCTCTTAGATCAGGGTGGCTCAGGCCAAGCAGACTGGGCTGGAAAAGCTGACCACATAAACCTCCCTTTTATGTAACGCCAGAGGGGCCTGGGAGCAATGTGAGTCCTCCAGCCCACAACAGACCCCAATATTCCCCATCCTCTCTGACCACTGACTTCCAGTCACCAGTGGAGGGCGGAAGTTCCTCCCTTAAAGACGAGGGGGGTTGTGGTGCACTCTCTGCTGGTGTGCCCAGGCTGCTGTCTGAGGACTGTGATGCTGTGGCCCATGGCTGACCTGCACAGACATGTAGTAGGAAGAAGAATGGATCTTAGCTAGCCAATGCTGCTGACATGCTATGCTAGGCATGTTAGTCACTGCAGTACAATCCAGCCTGACTATCCAAATACTGGGTCCAAAGAACTTGGCCAGTAATGGCGATTTGCTTTCTAGCTATTCTGTAAAATTGTTTTTTGTTGTTGTTGTTTTTGTTTTTCTTGTGGGAGTAGGGCTCTGAAATGTAGGATCAGAATCATGTTCTGATGCCCTTTCATTTCTTTTCTGGAGCTGTTTCCATGAAAAGCCTGACTCAGTCAAGATTTATAAAACACCATTGGACAGCTACAGGAAACACATGCTGTTTGGGAGCACACAGAACACAGACAGTGCAGTGAGTCTCGAGAAAGCTAGCAGGATCCAAGCCATATGTACGAAAATATATATGAATATATACTATATATATATATATATTCTCTGGCTACAGCAAAATTAATTTTGAAGGTACTAACTACGAGATCTCTGTAGAATCCTCCAGAGCAGAGAACACACTCCTCTTTGGGTGAAAAGGAAGATCAGAGGATACTTTGGAGCAAATGAACATGAGTTATACCACAAGCCAGCATTCCCAGAACCACTGCGGCCACTCTTGGGACACTTCTCTAACACCGAGCAGAGCCCCTATTTTAGTAAGGACGAGTCACTCTCAAGTCACCTTTAAAAGGAATTAAAACAACAATAAATGCAGCTGCAACAATCACAAGGAATTAAAGGATACAATCAGGTTCCATAAGTATTAAAGGAACGGCCAGGAACGCTATGGCCAATTTTAAGTCAACAAGGAGCAGCTGTCAGGGAAGGCTCAAACTCCCCAAGCCACTGCAGAAAGCAGTGGAAGGCCCAGAGGGCCTCGGGTTTATAGGAAACCTGAATTTTACTTCCGCCATCTCCTTATTACACAACAAAGAAAGCAACCAGTTCAGGGACTTCATTTCACTCCACCTAACATTTATGGAAGAAACAACTCTAACTCTACCAAAGTCTCCCAGAAAGCTATCACAAATGGAAGGCTTGCCTGCTTTCGGGTGATGTGTTTCCAGGGTTTGTATGTGGATGTGTGTGTGTGTGGGGGGGGGGTGGGTGTGTGTGTGTGGGTGTGGAGGGGGTGTTGCCCACGACTCAATCCTTGGTGTGGCGGTGGTGAGAGGTGCTTGCCACATGTGCCTGACTGACAGAGGAACCAACGCAAAGACGGATGAGAGAATCAGCTCCAGAGTTGTCCTCTCACATCCGTGTGTGCTGTGGCATGCTCACTAGCCCCACACATATATATCATCCACTGCACAGTAGTAAGAGTGATTAAGTCTTAAGAGGTGGGGCCTAGTGCAAGCTAATGGGACATCATCTGGTCCCGTGAGCCCACTTCATGGCCAAGACGTAAGTGTGTGCCAACCAGAAGGAAAGGGAGACACATGCTATAGCATTTCGGAGTCCCAGGGAAAGACCCTCAAGTTGCATGATGTGAAGTCCCTGCTAAGGCCATTCCTGTGCAGAAAAAGAAAGTGTGGTCATGAGCCTGTGGAGTGCAATAGGGTCTGATCTAATTCTACTGGTGGGAAGTCAGTCCACAGGCAACCCTCCTCATAGTTAGTGATGGCTTCAGCAAGACAGGGATTCACCTGAGATTTAGCATTTATTGGTAAACAAACAAATTAAAACCATCCATACAAATGAACATAGAATTAGAATTGTATTTGTCACAAGGGTTCTATCTACTAATTAAATGAAAATAATGTTGGTTGCTGGGTGTGATGGAGCACGCCTTTATTCCCAGCACTTGGGAGGTAGAAACAGGTCGGTCTCTGAGTTCAAGGTCAGCCTGATCTACAGAGTGAGTTCCAGAACAGCTAGGGCTACACACACACACACACACACACACACACACACACACACACACACACACACACACACACACAAACCCTGCCTCAAAAAAACTAAAAAAGGAAAATAATGTTGAGACAGAATGATGCCAATAGTTGAAGATGAAGAGACAGAGAATTTCACCAAGGGCAAAGTAGTAAAGCCTGTTTGTTTATGTAGGGTTATATGGCCAACGTGGTATCCAAAAATAATTAACCCAGCTAGTGTTTGTCCGGACAATGAGGCAATAGTTTGAGGTGCTCTCATGACTCTACAACCTGACTAAATATCCAGAGGGCAAACAGTCAAAGTCCTGAAAGTTCCATGTTTTGCTGGGGTTACGGGAAAGCAAGGTGGTGTTTCTTGTTACCTCTCCACGAAAAAAAAATGTGTCAGCGTGCTCCATTAGCAACCCTTCCATCACAACACTCATGGGGACCACATTTGAGGGAATGCATCTGTGTCCCACACTTCCTGAAAACTTAGACGTAATGGGTGGCAGTAGAAGGTGTGGCTGGATGGAGAATCACATGACTTAATAACATTTAAATACTGAGTTAATAACAAATATTGTAATTTAATAATCAAAGCCAAGAAAAGCCCATGTGAGTCCTAAGGAGAAAAGCGCCTACCCAAGGGATGACGTGACCACCCCCTCAAAGGAATTCATAGCCAGGCCTCATTCCCACTTGCTTAGGCTGTAGAACCAACTGGATACCCTCCCTATTAAACAACCTTACAGACACCCCACACACACCTCATTGTGCCAAGCCTGGCCTTCCAGCCTCATCCTGGGAGCATTTTTCTCTAGAAGATACTCACTATGAGATCAGAAACCCGGGGATCTTGCTGAAGGTAGGGTCAGTGGACCTGAGCGGGCCATAGCCGGCAGCCAGTTGGGTTACAAAGACCGCGATCGATGCCACAGCTGCCATAGAGGCTCTTCTCATTGCCTGGTGTGACTAGGGCAAAATATAACTGGCCAGGTCTCCTTTCCAGGAACTGGCGGATGCCGTCACCAGGGACACCCCCCCAACCTGGGTGCTATGAACCAATAGGCTCCTTGGTTGTTCCTGCTTCCGGAGAAGGGGGGATCAATGGTAAGTGCTGCAAGAACTAGCCACCCAAGAGGATTAATGACCTGTACCCCAGGGACAGGGCCATCTACACAACCAAGCCAGGAGAACACAGCATGATTCATCATGCCAGGCTTGGGGACAGGTTGCCAAGAAGGGGAAATGCACTCCATTTTATGTGTTCTCACTCTACTCTACTGCCGATCTGAGAATTTGGCCAGTACCAGCTGTTGGAATCTGTGACCAGGACTACTTTGTGTCCCACCCAGCCCTTGTCATTCCTGCTGCTAACGACTGGTCTCTGTCCTTCTACTGTACAACCTGCTGTTCAGCTCAGCCCCAGGAAAAGGGACAAATCAAGAGGATTTCCCATTCCACCAGGTATGTCAGAGCTGGTCTCAGAACCATGTCACCTGGCTTTCCTCAAGACTCCTGTGTCCATGGGGACCTCCGCATCACAGTGACGGGCTCCTCCCAATTGTCCCTACTTATCTGGCATCTGAACCCCAGCTCTGAGCTAGGAACCTTCAGCCCTGGCTGCACCGCCCAGGCCCTAGGCTCAAGATAGTCCTGCCTGGCCCTGCGCACAAGGGCTCCAAGCCTGACCAGATATCACACAGTCTGCAGCGACAGCCTGTCTCCGCTGCTCACCCCAGCCTGGCCACTGTCCGACACCCGCAGGCCCCTCTGTGAACCCTGCTTTCTCAAGTGAGATTTCATTTCCTGGGCGGTGCTGCTCTTAATAACTGAGGAAGCTCGAACGACTGCTCTGAAGGCACAGGGCTGTTCCGGGTGCATCCGGACCAGAAGACGAGCTATTGCCGAGGCTCAGGTTCACCAGCCGTCACCCCTCCCTTTCAGGTAAGGAAGGCTCACGAGACAATTTGCTGCTGGGGAGACCATTGTAAGTTCTGCAGATGGGAGCCAAGCCTGGGCAAGCTGCTTCAATGCTTGATTACCTAAGTTTTTCAGATGCACGTGTGTGTATGGGTGTGGGGGGTGACGTGCGGGGGTACATGCGCCCCAGCACCAGGCAGCCCCACTCTGCCTTGCCATGGACACTGGTAAACCTCACCACTCCCCAAAGTGGTTTTGTGAGCACGGCCTCAAATGAGCAGCCCTCACCTAGCACTCCGCACACTCGAAGGGACAGACAGTGTGACAGTCTGCCTGGTGCCCAGATAGTCGGGGCCCGAGAGCAGCTCGCATGGCTACTCTCTGAGGACTCCACAAAAGAGGCCCTCCCGCCTCTCCTGTCAGAAACACCCTGAAAATTACTAGGTCCAAGGTGAGCAGAGGGTCCATTTTTCTAGAGAACCCTGATGGGATCCTGGCCACACACAGTCTCCACAGATACCCTAAGGTACTGCCTCACAACAGAGCCACTCCAAAGGCAGTGCCCAGCCCATGCATTCTGCGGCCATCTGAGCGGCCATCCCACGGGTGACAGAGCTCAAGCCTCGACGACAGACCTTCTGAGTAAGTCCCCGAACAGTGCTCTTATGCACGACTAAGCAAGGGCTCTGGCAGGCCACATGGAGAGTTAGAGTCTCTGCTGCCTCCCCTAGGCCATCTCACGCCCCAGGGGACAGGACACTCAGCTTACCTGTGCTGCCCAGAGGTAGTCCAGCCGCAGTCTGACATCCACTTGCCTGGCATGTAGGGCCAGCGTGCATGAAAACAGCAGGATAGCCATGATTGGCTCATAGCTGCGCCCAGAGAGGGCACCGCCCCTGGGGAGGTGGAGAAGAAACCCCATCAGTGTCAGCTTCCAGGCAAGACATGGCCACCAAACCCTAGGCTTGGACAGAGAGCCGTCTCTCCGTAGTGAGGCCAAAACTCAGAGGCATTGCTAGAGTCTGGACTAAAGAACAGAAATGGAAAAACCACTAACTAAATAAAATTATATATATTTAGCTCACATTGGCTTGCTAATTGGTGCACGTGTGTGTGTGTGTGTGTGTGTGTGTGTGAGAGAGAGAGAAAGAGAGAGAGAGAGAGAGAGATAGGGAGGAAGGGAGAGAGTTCTGTGACTGTAGAGTTAATAACTGAGGTGATGATTAAGAATAATAGTGATTAATGCAAATTATTATCAGAGGAGAACAGTAATTAACATCACCCTGTCTAGAGTTTTTCCTTGGGGCACCACACTCACCCAACCTTGGTATATCCGCTGAGCTCCAGAACAAGGATGTAGGATGTGGTCAGTGCAGACAGCAGGACCATCTTTGGCAAGGAGGACACCCGCAGGAATATGGCTAGTGGGAGGGTGCCCACCAGGCAGCAGAGCAGGGCGTGGTGCGCAGACTCGCAAGGCAGGGCGGGCAGCACAGTGCGCCAGCCACCAGCCGCGAGGACCACCAGGGAGCTGTTGGACTGAGAGCTCCAGGCCCAGGGCAGGCAGCCCACCTGGGAACAAGGGCATGAAGGCTTAGGAAGGCCCAGGCAGAGCACAGCAGCCCCTCGGAAGGTCTGAGTGTCCCAGCCTCACTGAACGCCTAGCCCTCTGCAATAGTGCACTCCTGCCCCGTGCTGTCTCTGATAACACCAGCCAGGCCTCAAACCGCCTCTGCTGCTGCAGCCTACAAAGGCTCCTGGGTATCCACAGAAAAGGCTGGGGGCGAGCAGGGCGGACCAGGTAGTACCAGCCCCTGCCTGGTCTCCAGGCTGGGCAACTCCATCCTGTGTTGCAGCTCCCTCTACTCCAACCACCCCGGGCTACACCTCCTCGTTCCTGGCTCTGGTTCTTTGGCCTGTTGCTCCTGGCCCTGCATGTGACAAAAGTCAGTGATACTCACCACACATCCTTGAGCTACTGAGTAGATTAAGATCACTATGAATATACACAAAACAGTGCGGATCTGGATTGTCAGGCACCCTGGAAAACACTGAACAAGAAAACCTCACTTTAGGGAAGGGGCGCACCAGCTCAGCGGTAGTGTTGCCTAGCATGTGAAGGCGGGATGTAACTCCTCCAATGCCCCACGCAGGGGTTGGGGGAGAAGGAAAGGCAGAAAAGCTGTAAGAACTATGCTATGATTAGGAAGTAACTTGGTGTCCGCGGCAGGGTGTAAAGAGTCTCCTGCTTGCTCCTAGAGGCTTACTACCTCTGTCCTCTGTGCAGAGGTCTTGATTATTTTTATCTATTTATTGCCCATGTGCAGAACGTGCAAAAAATTCAAAACACACACACACACACACACACACACACACACACACACACACACCAGTGTTTAAATTTAAGGAGAAACACCTATCTCTCTCTCTCCCAGGTACCCTGACTTGTGCTGAAGTTAACTGAGCATTTTTGTTATAATGCATTCTCCAACCTCAGGCATTACATATCTATCTACCTACCTACCTACCTATCTATCTATCTATCTATCTATCTATCTATCTATCTATCTATCTCTATCCTGCCTTTGCTTCTCTCTCTCCCTTCCTTCCTACCTTTCTTTCTTTATTCCTTATGTTCTCAAAGTTTATCATCCCAGACAGGTTTAATATGATCCTTCAGTTACCAGAAATTTTATTTCTAATCCATTTACTTCAAATACAGTATAAAATATTTAACAGGTGCTTTTAAAGATAAAGCACGAAGTTCTTCATGCTCACAGTCCTAAAACAAGCGTATAGACGTACAATGTACATACGTAGTCCCTTACAGAAAGCAACATATGCTGACAGTCTAGGCCTGCAGGACTCCATGGGAATACACATAGTTGTTTTCACCATCCTTCCCACAAGGCTGGCAGTATTGCTGCTCTTGCTTAAAATCTGGGGGAGACTGCTACCAATAAAACAAGCCCAGGACCGTAGATTCTGGGGTCAGGACCGAGTTGTGTGAGGAGCATTGGTAGCTGGTAAGTCTCTGATCTAGGTTTCTGAGTCCAGACCCTACAGTGCTTCTCCAGAACCCTGGTCTCGGCTGACCTCCGACGGAAGAGGCACCATTTGGTATGAAGCCTAAGGGCTCTTCTGATCTCGCCTCCCTCTGTATTTCCCTCTTGGTCTGATCTCTGCCACTGGGGAAGGCACAGCTGCAAGTCCCTGATCATGAGAGGATGTTCCCCAGCTCCTGTCACAGCTAGGCTTGGTGTAGTTGGGAATTCCTCTAGAGGTACCCACAGATCCCAGTCTGTAGTTTACACATGGACCCAGGAGCAAGACCTCGAAGCAAGGTCCTGCCATGCTGTACAGATAATGACTCTTAAGGGCAGCTCTTTACCTGCTGCTATGGAGGCAGGCCAGCACCAGAGATTTTAGCATCCTGTATGTATAATAAAGCAAACCATGGCCACCGGCAACCTTTCAGGGGAAATCATCTATTTACCATTTATGCACAGGTTTAAATAAATGGGTATGCATATGATTAAAATCAGATGTATTGTGGGAAGGGACATACTCAGTAGAAAAAGCAAATATATGACCTAATCTATCAATGAGAACAGAGAACTGCTCACTTTACATCCTTAGCAACCAAACTCCTCCTCCTCTCAAAGCCCATGTAAGGAAGCATTGATAACTCTCCCTCATGTGGCCCACTCAAGAGTGCATCACTTTTTAATTGTTTAAATTAAGTTTATGTGGACTTGCTCCAATAAAATTATCTTGCTTCCTTTGCAAATCTGCATAAACTCTTATTTTCAATTCTTTGGATAAGCCTAGAGCCTGGAAACACCTGACCCAGACCCTGACAGTGATAACCCTGGGACTTGATAGAAATGGAATGTTAGACTATGGACAATCCCTGAGCTGCCTAGCATGAATTGGGTGTTATCTGGCAGAGGCGGCGGCACACAACAGCACCTCAGTACTGAATGGACACGGTCAGCACCTCAGCACTGAATGGACACGGTGTACTCAACAACACGGAACTCAAGACTCAGCACAGACTTCCATTCACCAAGGCCAAACTGGTTCCAGCCTCTGCACGGCCTAGGCGTAACAATGGGCACCACTCACAAGCCTCACAGGAGTTTCATGATACAGCAGGCTCCAAAAACAGTTTAACGATCTGGAAACTTGCTCACAGCGCCAGGGAGGTGACAGTATTGTGTAAGAATGGACTAGGTTCTCCAGGACTCTGTACATACTCAAAACTAGCAACCCATACAAGTAGTGCATTAGATTACGCTAGTCCAGGGCCAGAAGGATAACCACATAAGCAGAAACAATGCAAAGTAACTTCAACAGGCAAGGTTAGGATTCTCCTATAACCTTTAGAAATGCTTGTTAAACTACCAAAACCTCTATTCAGGTTACAAATTACAGCAAAATAAAAATCTACAAAATGAGCATTTACTTAGCACATTTGGTGCAGACGATAGTTCTTAATGGCCCTGGAGGTCTCTCACCCCAGTTCTAGCACCAAGACCCTTGAGTGCCATTGCCTGGAATCACATGACATTACACCACTACAGAAGGGACTCTATAACAAGTCATTCAGACGGGAGTAACTCAAGCATCTCATCTGGTCACATAACATCTCTAGATGCAGAAGGATTTATTTTCTGCACCAAGGCATTTTACCTGGAGGCAAACCCATTGCCCATTTCTCCCCACCCCTGTGCTTCTAGAGCTGCATCCAAAGAAACGTTGCTGGGCCAATGCCACAGAGCTTTGGCGTCTATGATGACTAATAAAGACATAACTCACATATTAGGAAACATTATTTGTAAAGCATATAGATGATGAGGGGCTAAATATCCAAAATGCATATGGAATGCAGACAATTCAATAGCAAGTAAAGGAATGATCCAACTTTTAAGCAAAGGATTTAATATATACTTCCCAAGTAAATATAGACCAAAGTCTGATACTGATACATGGACATCATCACAAATCGCCAGAGATGTACAAACTAAACCATAATGAGATGCCCCTGGCCTAGCTGGAGTGGCTTATCAAACAACTGACAATCACAGGGGCCAGAATGTTACGGGAAACAAGGGAGGCCTGTGGTCAGACTAAGAACAGAGCTTCCGTGTGATCCAGTGACGCTCCCATTGGCTCTGCATAAAAAAGAAAGACATCAATCCGAAGAAGAGGAGACAGGTGATGCAGTTAGTAGGGCGCTCGCTTGGGAGATACAAATTCTTAGGTTCCACCCCCACTACGGCATACAACAAGGTATGGGGCACACCTCTGTAATCCCAGCACTCAAGGGGGTAGAAGGAGGAGGCTCAGAATTTCCCTGACTACAGGGCAGGTTTGAGATCTCTGGGATACAGGAGATCCTCTCTCAGGAGACAAGTGAAGAGTAGGCAGCTGCGTCCCCATGCCCCACATTCACTCACGGTAGTCAAGACGGAGTCAACCTAATCTAAGGTATCCTGCTGACCGACTGACAAACGGACAACGAAGAGTGGAGTACTACTCAGCCTCACAGAAGGAGAAATCCTTCAATTTACACCAAGTATTGCTAAACCTGGAAGTTACGTTAAATAAAGTAGATCAGGTGCAGAAGTAGCTGCATGATCTCACTGAGGTATGGGATCTAAGACTCAAACTCAGAAGATCCAGTAAGGGGTTCATAGGAAAATGCGACAAAATTGATTCAGTGATCTGGGAAGAATGAGGTTGTGTGATGGATTGCACGGCATAGGGGCTACAGCGAATATATTGCATGTTTCAAAACTGCTAGGAGTTGACTTTAGATGATCTCACTACAAAACAAGCAAGCCACTGTGTGTGATTAACAAATATGTTCCCTTGCTTGATTTAATCATTCTGCAACATAATGTGTAACATCATATTGTATCTGACAAATATATTTAAATGATTACTACTTTTCAATTAAAAGTGAAAACACGATAAAAAATAAAAGCAGAGCTTTTTTATGGACAGACGGAGGAGGGAAATAGAGAGGTCTGCTTGCCACTGAGGGTTTGAGGAGGAGGACACAGCAGCAGCCAATAAAGAAAGGATGAGACTCACAATAGCCCAGAACTGAATTCTACCAACCATAACGGACCGGGAGTCAGTCATTCCCCACAGCCTTTTGAGAAGCCATGGTTTGATATCTTACATATCAAGAGACATGCATGGACTACCACTCTCTAGAGCTGAGACACCACAAACAGATGAGACTTTGGGTGTCTGTTGACTGCAGCTATGTCTGGAAGCAACAGGAAACCGAGATGGTTTTGACAAGCTGTCCACCGATCAGGAATCTTTAGGTAGAGTCTATCTTGGCTGCTGTCAGCAGTGTGGCAGTGAACACTGGGGCCCAGCTGCCTGTCTGTGCTGATCTGCTTTCTTTGGAAAGGACCTCAGCAGTAGGAACAAATGGGAAAGTGTCCAAGGAGCAGGCCAGAAAAGGTGTCCTTGCTTTCTGTCTCTCCTGGGTCTGCGAACCTTAGATGAGCCCCATCACAGTCAGGTCCCTACAGGGGGCCTCCCTGTGCAGACGGATATGCCCACTTTCCATGTTCCGCTCCTCTGAGCGAACCCAGGAGAGGCCAACATGACGGGCAGGAGGCCAGTGGATTTTTTGAATGGTGTGGAGGGCAGAGTCCCCTGTTCTAGATGCACGCTCCTATCTGGTAGACATAAAGCTGGGATGCTATCGTATTTGGCTATCAAGGGAGGCTGGCATTGGACTGATGTGAGCACTAAGGGGTAGACAGACCATCCAAAAGACAGTCATCTGGCTTGAAGCAACCCTGGGCTCTCTCTTCACTCCTCTCTGACCCGTGCTCAGCACTGATTCTGTGAGTGTGCTCGATGAAGTAAGTAGGAAGTGAGTTGTCTTTAGGGACTGGGGCCAATGCAACTGTCCCCATGGCCACTGTGGAGGAAAGCACAGCTACACTGTTAATGCCATAGCTCCTTGGACACAGCTGTCACACCTGCGTGGCTGGCTATGCTGGATTCTCTCCTGCTTAACCTGACTTCCTGCCTGCTCTACCACCCCGACAGCCTCTATCCCACCGTCTGTTCCCACAGCCTCTGCCACAGCCTGATCAGCCCCAGAATGAAGCACAGAGCCCAACACAGCCTGGTGGACACAGTCACTGTGTGAGCTTGAGTTTATCCACCTTGTCCTGGTACACCCTTCCGGGAGCTAAGTCCCACCGGCCTCTGCTCCAGCTGAGTGCAGGTTCCTCTCTGCTTCCTGTGTGTCAGCCAGCATGAAGTCAGGCACCAGAGAAGTCAACCTCTGAAGCTGTGGGAGCTGCCGCTTCCAAAGCACCAGTTTAGGAAACCCTCCATGCTGCTCTTTGGTGAGGCCAGGAGTGGGCAGCGGGGGACAGCTGCCCTGACTGTTAACATCAGGAGTTATGCCGGCCTGAGTCCCCTCCCAGGAGGGCAGCTGGGTTTTCACAGGGGGTGGTTTCGGGAAGGCCATCACCATTTGATCTCACAGGACATGCATTCACCGAGCCGGCTGGTGTTTGGGCTTCAATATTAGTTTTACGGGCAATGTGTAAGGTCGTGAAGAGAGTGGTGTGATTCTGCCCAGGGGAACTGGAATCCCGACCAGATGCTGGGTGGGGCTCCGGGGTCTCTGTGTTCCCTGGGCTGTGTATGGTCTACTCTCTCCACCCGCCCCTCCCCCCAACACACACACACACATCTTCACACTTTTTGCACACCATTAGGCAGACACACTGGCTCCCATCAATGCAGACCAAATGACAGTTTTAAAAATTACCATCCCCCATGTCATGCTTTCGTAGAAATTCTATGACAAAGGCAATATTATTTGAAGCTGGAAATTTCAAACTAAATGTCACTCAACCTCTGGAAGCCAACTAACTGTAAATGTATCTTTTAAATTAGAAAAATAAAAAAAGGCAAGATGTACCTGGAAATAGTGATGGAGTTAAGTGAGTGAAACTAAAGTAAGCTCGGGTCTAGCATCTCCAGTACGGATGTGCTGGAGATCGGGCACTGGGAAACAGGCTAAGCCTATGAGAAAAGGGGCGGGGCCACAAGAAACAGAGCTCTAATGCGGGGGCGGGGTGAGCAGGCAAGAACACGATGCTCTGCCTTTGCCCTAAAAGTGCAAATGTCACAAGCATCAGGGTCATGACAGTGCGGATAGCCCCCGGGACCATGCCCACCTTAGATCTGTTTATATGGATACATAAGAAACAAACTACCCTGGGCTCTCCAACCAAGTAGCAAAGTCAATACTTCAAGATCCTTTTACATCAGTATTTACCACCCACTGATCCAATATTTCTTCCAAGACACCGCTCTGCATCATGCACAGCACACTGGATAGATTATCTTCTACTTGCCACCGAGAATGAAGGATGGAACTGCTTTGCCATGAGACTGCACAGAAAATACTCAGGTACATGGTCTTGGACACAGGCTCACATACCTGGACACCTGTAGAAGACACACAAACATACCTGGACCCGCGTGATGTGCAGGTACAGGATACAGGCCACCAAGAAGCAGATAGAAAACACCAGCAGCAGCAGCACAGCCACACTCCTGGGGACAGAGGACACAGGTCACTGCTAGGTGGGAGCAAGGTACGATGTATCAGATAAGTACCTCAAAAGTGGACCTCTCTTCCCGGCCACCACGGCCTGAACCTCAGGAGGAAGTATTGCCATTATCCATTTGTCCCTGGGGACTTACTTCACCTGACTCTCTCCTAGTGAAGGCATTTGGAGCTCCCGGGTGAGGTTCCCAAGTCCATCCCCATCCATACTACCTCACCCCAAAGTTCAGCCTTGGCTTCAGGTCACACCACTTTCAGGGGACCTGTCCTCTTAGTGGAGGAAGTGCTCAACTTCATGGAGCTGTACTATTGATATTTGTCTGGGAAAGATGTTTCTAGAGAAAACATAAACCCTAGACAAAACCATCCAGTCAACAGCTCACAGCTGTCTGCGAAGTCCACAGCTGAGGCTTGCTGTCCTGAACAGGTGTAGAGATTTTCCACATGCTTTCTGAAAACTTGGAGGAGACATCATGCCCTCAAGGCCTGTCCTACTAGGAAACAAGTGCCCGAGGAAAAGGACAGCTGGAGACTTCCTGGTGTCTTCCTCCAAACAAAAGCTCCAAGCTTACACTGACTCGTATGGTGATTAAATGTCACTTAAATCACTATATTTTCTTCCTACCCAGGGTCTGCACCCTTCCCATTTTCACTTTTTTTGAAGTGGTAAGGACCCAGAAGACAGAAAGGCCATGTGTCCTCCTCAGAGAGACCTCTGAGGACAACGGTGCATGTCGTGTGAATGGAAAATCCGAAAATCACACCACGTCTCGGAATTCAGCAGATTCAAAACTAAAAACAGTGACGATGTTGTTTGCCAAGGGACTTGTCAAAGTTCTGCCTAGAGTGCATGAAGAAGCAAGGCAAGTGGCCAATGCCCTCCTCAAATGCCAGGCTCAACAGAAGAGTGCGGCTGGGAAGCAGATCTTGAGGACTTAAGGACACCGGGGTCCACCCCCAGTGTTCGGTGTCAGAGGGAAATGGGTTTGAACACTTGGTTCCGGGACAGTGGCACTATCTGGGTAGGATGTCAAATCTTTAGGATGTGGGGCATCATGGGAGGACGTGAGTCACAGAGTGTGAACCTCAAGTCACCAAGTCACCCGCACTCCACTTATACACCATGCGGATGTGAGCGAGCGGCCTCATGCTCCTGCCATGAAAGCCAGAAGCGTCTGCTGATGCCCCGTGCCCCTGCATGATGAACTGTACCTTCAAACTGGGAGCCCAAAAATCAGCCCTGCTTCCCTTCAATGGCTTCCTGTCAGCTGCTCAGTCTCAAAACAAGAAAAACAACCAGTTCCGCTAGAGTCCTGGCATTCTTGGTCACCTGCCCATGCCATGGAGTAGCCCAGGGACAGCACTTACTGTGGAATTATCAGAAGGTAGACAAGCCCAAATAAGGCAGCCAGGATGAGGGCGAGGAAAACGGCGCTGGTGAAGTACTCATCCTGAAGCTGGTGGTACTGTGGGGGAGGGGGAGGGAGCGTGGGGGGGGAGAAAGAGAATAGAGTGATCAGCCCATCTCCAAGACACACAGTCCTTGGGGACACGGGAAAGGATGAAGTCCCAAGCCACTTACTTTTTGCTCTCGTTCGACGTGTTTGTACTTCAGGGTGAAGAAGTTCAGGTCTGCCATCTCCAGCTCTGTCTGGCGGGCTTCAAGAAGACGGCTGATGTACCTGTTGACACGTGTGCCCGGAGTGGTATAGACCACATTGGTAGAGAAGGATGAGCGGTTTCTGAGCTTCTCCGAGGCTGTCCTCAATGCCCTCCGCTGCGGCCACGATGGAAATAGAGAAAAGAGCATCAAGTGTTCCACCCGTACGCACCTGATAGCGGTGCAGTCCCAGCTGGGTTCACAACTCTGAGACACTGTCATAGCGCTGCCCCCTGCTGGCCAGTCCCGGCTGGGTTCACAACTCTGAGACACTGTCATAGCGCTGCCCCCTGCTGGCCAGAGTTGGCAAAGGAGGTGGCCTAACACCCAGTATTCAGGTTCCCAGGTCTGTGTTGCAAATTACAGAATGTCTATTTGACATCAGCGTGGAGAGGGCTGTGTGATTCAGTGACAAATATGCCTGGGACAAGCAGCCACCTGCCCCCACTAGCCCCCACATGCAGAAAGGATACTTGGACAGGGTAACCACCTTCACTCACAAGCCCACATATGTAGGAAGGGGTGCCTAAGTCTGTTTGAGAGAGGAATGGTGTGAAGTAACAGGTAGCCTGGGCTGGAAGCACCAGGGTGTGATGCCCTCTTCCGTACATCACATGACAGGAACAGGAAGGTACCAGGTTGTAGAAAGGAAAACAGCGTAATCCGAAGGCACCTGCTGTGGTCTCACAGCCAAGGGTTCATAGCAAAGACTCTGGCGCTTCCCACATCTCAACAGAAGATAGACTGCTGAGACACCACAATGCAGCTGCAGAAAGGATGGAATGAGCCTCCTCCTCCTCCTCCGTGTTCCAACAAAACAGCAAAACACAGACAACGCAAGGCTGTTAAAGGTGGGAAGGGAGAGCGGGCTTTCAGAACTCTAGGACTCAAAGAGGAACTGTGTGTGACAAGGGGTCCCGTGGGGCATCTTTTGTCATATCTACCCCAGGCCAGAGGAGCCCGCACCAGGAAGTGTCAATGGGTGCAGTAAAACTGACAGGGGCCATGAGAAAAGCTATTGTCTCTCGACCAAATGAACAAGAACGGGAAACCAGAAAAGCAGAAATGACCACACAATGGCAGCCAAAGACCACGAGAAAGTCTATATGTTAAGAATCCCCAACTTCCCAGTTATACCAAACCACATAACAAAATGGCACCCCACTGCACTGGGTAAGATCAGAGGACCTGAGGCATCCGAGGATTGCAGAGGCAAAAGCCCATGGCAGATCACCTTGATCCACACTCTTGTATTTCCTAAAATACAGCATCCAGTCAGCACTTAAAAAAACGTAAACATTAACTTACAGGCACCACTTCCAAGGCTGGTATTCCCAGCTCAAAGCCCCACAAGGATCAGTAAAATCCTGTGCATCTCCATTGAGACTCAGAATGAGCAAGAATGCCCACCCTTATCACTATCATCAGCTTAATTATTAGAGGAGAAAGAGGAACAGCAGCCCTGTTTAAAGTACATATTATTACTGACCAAGAAAACCCAAGATAATTTAAAAAGTCACTGCAATTGGTTTCAATCGGTGTGGACCAAACAAGCTAAATGCTATCTCCAGTAAATTCATGCAGCTGATCATCATCCCCAATGTCCAGACAAAGTGCAGACAGACTGGCAGCGGGGAGCAAACACAATGTCCGGCAAAACACCAGTGATGGGGATCCTTCTGCATACATGGTCCTCTTACTGGTTGATGAATAAAACACTGTTGGCCAGTAAGGCAGAAGATAGGCAGGACTAGGAGACGAGGAGAATTCTGGGAAAGAGAAAGCCACCAGAAAGAGTCACCATGTGGCCACTAATGGAGAACAGGTCTGGGCATTCTCCAGTAAGCCAAGACCACGTGGAAATACATAGATAAGTCGTTACGGGTTCATTATAAAAGTGGTCAACAGTTTTATAATTGACACAGTGCCCGTGTGTTTATTTGGGGTTGAGGTGGCTGGGGGACCAGGGGGGGGGCGGGAAAAACCTCCATAACACTCCAAGCCTTGCTAGGTTCCCACACTGGAGTGGCTGGAGAAGTCAGGGTTTACACACGCCATAGACAGAGCAAAATGCTGGGGAGAGCCCAAGTTGGTGGCAGGGGATACAGATTAAAACAGTACTCCATTAAAACAACAGTACTCCGGATTAAAACAGTACTCCATTAGTCCAGCAGTCTCCCCAACCCCAGTCTATCCTGTACTATTCACTAAGTTGTCTGTGAAATTAGATGTGCCCAGCACCCATGAACGTGATACTTGGAAATGAAGTCCCTGTTTATCAACAAGCCACTAGGGAAGTCAGGCTGTGTCTACACCTGGAGGCCATTCAGCCACAAAGAAAAGGCTGGGACCTATGTGAGCCTCCAAATGCCCAAGGCATTTCCAGGGTAGGAAAAGGCTCAATTCCCATGGTTACCACCCACTTTACACTCAAGTTGGTTTCCAGAAGGAAACAGAAAACCAGGAGCAATGCAGAACACTTGATTTCCATATCATCCACACAAGTGACTTCCATGCTGCTTTAAATCGTTGCGTGTGTGTGTGTGTGTGTGTGTGTGTGTGTGTGTGTGTGTGTGTGTAAGAGAGAGGGGGGGGAATAAAATTCCTACTATCTGTGACAGAAGCCAAGCATTTAGTATACTGCAGCCCCCAGCTGCCTGGAACACATAAAGGCCAATCCTCCCTGATTCGATCCACCATGAATGAAGATCTTAGAACAGTTTCAGATAAAGTTCCAGCAAAGAGAAGTCACACACACAAACCCTTGTCACATGGAACCACTATAAACAAGAGGCAACAGAACCTTGCTTTGTCCTGAACTACATCAGGAAGCTTCTTTAAAAGGTATAAAGTCAGTAACAACAGAGAAAACAATGGCGGGAAAGGCAGTAACAGGTGGTTGAGCAAGCAAACCCAAGGTAAAGTCAGTGTGATTCCAGAGGCCTGGACAGAGTGGATACCAAAGGCTCTGGTCAAGAGCCATCCACAAGGGGGCATTAGAGTCCTAAGGGGCATCCCATGCTCTTTGGTATACTTCCTACCAAAAACAATGTGCGGTCTTCCCAAGAAGGGACATCAGGTCTCTGGCCCTGTGTGGTTGAAATGAGGCCTGAGACACCGCCATTACCAGCACCACACGCCCAGAAGATCTGAAAACCCACAAGCGACTGACTGTCTGGTCATCCAAGACACAAAACCCTGGTGCCCACGGGAAGGCCTGCATTGGAGAGCCGTCCCTGGCTTGGCACGTGCAGCCAGCTTTGCTATCCTCTCCATCAAGAACAAAGCAGTAAAGACTCTGGGTGTCTATGGGATTCCAGAAGATGACAGACAAGCTTAAAGGAAGAATAAAGACAAGCTGCTCAGAGAAAACAGATCTTTCTGGGACCAGATATTCTGAAAAACCTCCATGAGTGGGCTGAAGAGAAGGGCCAGTGGCTAAAGAGCCCACCAGGCAAGCAGCAAGAGTAAGGACTGACATGCAGCTCCCAAAACCCATGTCAGAGCCCACCTGTCATTCCAGAGCTAGGTATGCAGAGTCAGGGGGTTCTCTGAATCCGCTGACTAGTTAGACTAGCAGTCTGGGTGAGTGCCGGATTGCAGGGGGAGAGCCTGCCTCAAAGAATAAGGTGGAAAACCATTGAGGAAGATGCCCAACACCAACCTCAGTCTCCACAGGTGCACATCCCAATACACACACACACACACACAACACACAACACACAACACACACCAGGCCACATACCATTAAAAATAAAATAGAATAAAAATCTTGAGACAGCAAGGTGGCTCAGATGGAAAAGGCATCTTCCACCAGCTCTGATAGCTCTGATGGCTGAGTTAGGGTCTCAGAACCCCTATAGTAGCAGTAGAAAACCAGCTTCTGCAAGCATCCCCATGCATCCCATGGTACACAGGCATGTATGCATACCTACCCACAAATACTACAAAAATTAAAAACAAGCTCTGTGAGTGGTGGAAGCTAGGGCTGTAGTGCTTGCCTGTCATACCTGTGAAGTCCTGGGTTTGATACCTTGCAGGAGATAAAACCAGATGAGATGGCACACATCTTCAATCCCAGTGTTTGGGAGGTAGAGACAGGAGAATCAGAAGTTCAAGGGCATCCTTAGATATGTAGCAAGGAAGAGCTAGCCTGGGGTCTCTGGCATAGGAATACAATTTCACAGGGAATTATTCATAAAACAAACAGTACTTGGGACTTTTAAGAATTGAAAAGCTCAATAGAAGTGTTGGACGATGTACTGACTGGTTTTGTGTGTCAACTTGACACAAGCTAGATTCATCAGAGAGGAAGGTGCCTCAGCTGAGGAAAAGCCTCCATGAGATGCAGCTGTAAGGCATTTTCTCAACTAGGGATCAGTCCTATGGTGGGTGGGGCCATCCCTGGGCTGGTGGTCCTGGGTTCTATAAGAGAGCAGGCTGAGTAAGTCAGGAGGAGCAAGCCAGTAAGCAGCTCCCCTCCATGGCCCTCATCAGCTCCAGCCTCCAGGTTCCTGCCCTGCGTGAGCTCCTGTCCTGTCTTCCTTCAGTGATGAACAGCAATGTGGAAGTGTGAGCCACACAAACCCGTTCCTCCCCAAAGTGAGTTTCCATCACGGTGTCTTCTCTCAGCAATAGAAACCCTGACTAAGACAGATGAGAAAGGTGAAAAAACTTTCCAGAAGAAGGAAAGAGCTGGGCTGGGGGGAATTCAGTCAATTCAAGAGCTCCAACATCCAAATAATAGCCCTTCCGGAAAAAAACAAATAAAAGAAGGAAGTGGAGGAAAAGAAATGGCAGCATAATCTCCTTCCAAACAGGTCCTCTGGGGACGCGGGCCCCAAAGTGACCAAAGTGAAACACAAGATGGGGTGCCAAGGACGGACAAGGGCTTATGAGCGCCGTATCACAGCGAGCTGGGACGCCTTTACGTTCCTCAGTGGCCCTGGAAGGCAGGGCGCAGTGAAGCATGCTGGGAAAGGAAGAAAGTTCGGCCAGCTGTGATGGCCGAACCCTTACACAGCCCCCAGATCCATGAGTTGAAACTCTAACTCCCAGATGACAATGGAAGAACAGCTGGACACTCAGGAGGTGATTGCACCCTTAGGAAGAGAGGAGGTGACGCCAGAGCCCATAAGGACACAGTAAGAAGATAGTTCCTGCCAGAGAAGAAGAGTGTAGGCCTGTAGTTACCCTGACCGTGGACATCTGGCTTCCAGTGAGTGAGTGCCTGTAGTTTGCACCTCTCAGACTAGACTCTTTTGTTGTGGCAGCCTGGGCTGGCTAACACACCAAGCTAGAAATCAAGGCTGTGTCCTGCTAGCTGAACCTTTTACATATCCAAGTCCCACCCCTCCACTCACTTCCTGTACCCGTTTTCATGTGCCCCATGCAGTGTGAGAAGTAAGAAGCCAACCAAGTGAGGGGGTGGGACCGCAGAAGGCCACTGGGATAGGAAGGGGCAGGCTCGGAGGAGGATCAAGCTGAAGATTAGAAAGTTAAGACAACAGACCTAAAGGACTAACCAGAGATCCTCGGACTGCTTGTGGGATATGAGCTTAGACCTGGATAAACACAAGGTAACGCAGACTTGTGCTGCATCACAAGCTCATAAGGGTATCAGTGGGGAGGAGTGTTCTAGCCAAGCCGCACAGGGTAGGAGCTCAGGAACAGTGCCCATGGCCCTAGGCCACGCCTACCTTATCATCGTCCTCACACGTCATTACGTTGGAGAAAGGGATCTCGGCTTTGAACATTTTCCGGCAGTGCATGAGCTGCACCAGCAGGTAGCAGACAGTCTTGAACTTCATCCTCTTGGCTGGTTTTATATCTGAGAGAATCAAGCCTGGAAATATCTATCCAAACACAAGGGTAGGGGAAATAGCGTCAATGAAGCAGATCTTGACTCTCGGGCTGGAAACATGACCTTGACAGTGATAGGAACTACAGGGCACTGAAATTAGGTTGCTTGCTGTCGTCTGCATGCCGGAATCTACATTCTTGATCTCACAGGAGCCTGCACTCTCAACTAAACCCATATCTTCATGTGAACAGGCACACTCACCTAACCCATAACCTGAACCAGAATCCACGTCTTCAAAGCAACCGTCACCCACAATTGTCATGTGAGGACTTGCCTACACCTGAGCCCATGCCCTCACGTGAGCTCACACCATCACCTGAACACGCACTCTCACCTGAGCACACAAACTCACATGAACACACACCCCCACCTACATGTGAGCACACTTCATCACCTGATTCTGAAACTTCACACCAGGCAATAGCCTCACTAGAACCAGCACACTCACCTGAACTAGAATCCTTACCTGAGCCCAGATCCTCATGAGCTCACACCTTCACCCAAGTTCACACCCTCATCTAAACACACACCCTCACCTGAGCTCACACCCTCACCACACACCACCATCTTCACTGAGCTCACCGACATACCACCATCTTCACTGAGCTCAGCAACACACCACCATCTTCACTGAGCTCACCAACACACCACCATCTTCACTGAGCTCACCAACACATCACCATCTTCACTGAGCTCACCAACACACCACCATCTTCACTGAGCTCTAACCCTGGCCTCAACAAGTAAGTTACCTGAGTTCATAACCTCCTCTGAGCCCAGCTGTCATCTGAGTCGGTGCCCTCATCTCAGTACAAACCCTCCAATCAGCTGGAACCGTCGTCACCTGAGCCCTGGGGGCATCTCTGTCACCCTCAATCCTAACCACATCTACTTCCCCCTGGCAGTGTGACCTGAAGCATCCAACACAGGATGGTCAGCTCCCTCTTACACAGCATTCACAACACAGGATGGTCAGAGCTCCCTCTTACACAGCATTCACAACACAGGATGGTCAGAGCTCCCTCTTACACAGCATTCACAACACAGGATGGTCAGAGCTCCCTCTTACACAGCATTCACAACACAGGATGGTCAGAGCTCCCTCTTACACAGCATTCACAACACAGGATGGTCAGAGCTCCCTCTTACACAGCATTCACAACACAGGATGATCAGAGCTCCCTCTTACACAGCATTCACAACACAGGATGGTCAGAGCTCCCTCTTACACAGGATGGTCAGAGCTCCCTCTTACACAGCATTCACAACACAGGATGGTCAGCTCCCTCTTACACAGGATGGTCAGAGCTCCCTCTTACACAGCATTCACAACACAGGATGGTCAGCTCCCTCTTACACAGCATTCATACATTCACAAAGATTTGTACCCCAACCTCCTGCAGGAAGTTCCTGGCCACTATGCCAAGGAGTGAAGGGGCCACAGAAAGGACAAAGGACCCGAAGTGGCCCAGTCACCCCCACATTTCTGACTCCAGACTCCTACCAGCTCTTACTCTTCTCCCCTCCTACATACATGAGGCAAAGCCCTGCACCCTGCATCTCTGGGGTGACATCCGGAGGAGCGCTGGTGAGAGCTGGAGGTGACAGGTGAGAGCCATTGTTTCTGTAGAGCTCTGCTGGGCAGGCTGTTTAATGGCTGAGTAAGGGGGCCTGGCTGCCCACCTTTCTCCGATGGGAGGGCACAATAAAGAAGGTCTCGATGTTGTGAGTTCTCAGGAAGGTGTTCCTCTCGTGGCCGTGACCCGGCTCTACTTCGTAGTCCCCATTCAAGCACGCCAGGGTCGTCTTTGTGATGTGAACCTTCCTGTAAGAGAAGAATACGAAGCTGAGTGTGAACTCACAATTGTGGCTGTGCGGGGTCCTGGGTGAGGCGTCACAGCAGAGGTTGCTCTGCTCGGGACAAGACTCCTGAGGCATATGCACTCTTGTTCCAAAGCATGGGTAACCTGGGAAGAAAGGACAGGAAGGCCCAGACAAGCCAAGTGATGAGATACACACCCTGGAGCCAGAATAGAGCTGGAGAAGGCCACAAAGGATGAAGGATCGGGAGAGACCCAAGGCAGAGAGAGAAACAATCAGAAGATTGTAATAACGAAGATGAGAACAAAACAATCAGAGTGAAAAGGGGGAGGGGAAAACCTCACAGCCAGCCCAATGAAGAGCTGCAGATCATGGATGATGGTAGTCAGAGAGCCGAAGGCAGTAGGAAACGATGTGGGAACCTCAACCTGCCCCTGCTTCTCTGACCCACAGAATTCCAACCCGCTCTGCCAGGCCAGCTCTTCCCAGACTTTCTGAATTCCCTGTAGGAGAAAGCCTTGAGTTCATGTTCAAACTCTGCAGCTGGCGGTCACTAGGGAGGCTCTAAAGTCACGGCATCTTCCATGCACAGGTGTGGGAAAATAAAACAGAGAACTAATAATAGGATATGAGAATACCCCATGTACTGGACCCACACTCATCCAGATGTGCCTGGGCCTCAGCTGGGTTCCACGGAGGGAAAAAGCAGACCCTACCCAAGTACCCTCAGGATCAAAGCCCTAAATGAGGACTCTAGCCGAGGCACTCGGGTTCCGCCCACACGACAACTTACCCAGGTAAGCCAGCAGCCTCCATGACGTTGGCCAGGGTCACGTCATTGGACCATACATCGTACTGCCACTTTCGTAGGCCCAGGACACCACAGAGGACCCTGCCGGTGTGTAGTCCCACACGCATGTTCAGGTCTACTTCGGTAGCCTCAGCCACAGATCTGTAACACAGACGTAGGGTGCGGGACTGAAGGCTGCCCACAGCTACCTCAATGGGTTATCACGGGCTGCACCGCGAGGCCGTGCACAGACAGAAACAGTCTGCTTGGGTTTGTGACGTGACTGGGACATGGAGGTCTGAGGACAGCAGCACATTGCTTCCCACCTGCGAGCTAAAAGTCAGCCACAGCAACTCAATGAGCTCTAAGAGCTCCCAACACAGCGTCGTCCCCCCCCCCCCGCCCCTCCTCACCCGGGGAAGTCCCCGAAGGGAAACGAGCCCAGGACCTCCATGTAGGTCGCTCTCTGAGGAATCAGCTCTGGGGAAGTGGATGAAGACGCGCAGTGGGAGTTAAAGCAGTGTGGCCAGCTGAGGGTATGCCACTACTGGTCGACGAGACTCAGTGTCCTGGCGCGTGAGTCTGGCTCTGCCAACATTAGCGCTGACAACTCTGGTGGCACACCTCACTGCAGGAGATGTAAAGCTCCTCCTGCTAGCTTTTTCTACTCTCCTAAGGGACAACACCAAGGGATGCTCCAGGAAGAACACCAGGCCCTCCACTGAAGGTGTGTGATCACAGGGCAAGCAGTACAGCCTTCAGTGAGCATCTCCACCCCAGCTCTGCAGCGTCACCTAGGAGGATGCCGCAGGTCACATTTGCAGTAATGAAATGGCCTGTATGTGTTGGCCCTGCCCCGTGGCTGGCTAACCTTCACCCTGACTTGTGTTTGCAAACTATCCACCATGCTCCACACGAACACCTGCATATCCCCACGCCCTCCGGACTTCCCTGGGCTGTCTTCCAAACAGCTGCCTCCTACCTCTGCGCTTGGGTAAGCAAGAGGCTGGAACCAGCTGCAGCCCACGGGCAGGGCCCTGAATTCCTAGTGCACCCTCAGCCTCAGCGACCCCAGAGGTGCATGTGGAAGCCAGACTATTGCTCTGTTTTGCTTGTTATATTTTGAACGAAACTTTTGAAATTTTAACTTCATTCCAAGCTCTTCCAACCTCTGATAAAACACTGAAACAAAGCCCTACAGAGAAGGCTGGCATCTTCAAACCCACAGGAGCAAAGCTCGTGGAGACACCTGCCCTTCATGCTCTAGAGCACACTCAGCATTTCCGCTTCTGCAGCCACAAAAGGTAAGGCAGCCCTGGGGATGCTGGAGGACACACTTGCCGGTGTCTACAAATACCCACAAGCTCCCTTAAGCCTCCCAAACCAGCTGTTTTGGATCCCCATGAGCTGGGATCTGCAGAAGCCCACAAGGCCCCCATGTCTGGCACCCAACACCTGCCAACACTCAGCCTTCCCTGGCAGCTTCTGCCTCTGGTATGTCAAGGCTGGCATGATGGAATCCATAGCACCCTGGAGAGTGTCTTCTAAGAAACAGCCCAGCCAGCTGTTCCCCTGTGGTTCCTCTTGGCTCCCTTAGACCCAGGCATGTTTTGTCCAAATCCAACAAAACATTGTACTTCATTTCCAGGACACCAGGATTCCCACGCCCTGTCTGCATTATTCATCCCATATTTCTTATTTATGATCTCAGAGCAATTTACTTATGACAAGTATTTTCTACAAAGGAACAATGCTGTCCTGGCCCCGTTTGGTTCTGGATCCCAATAGAGAGCAGCCAACCCCGAGGTATGGGGGCCGCCCTCCCTCTCTGTGTACACAAACCCTGGCTGACAAAGAATTAGAGCAAAGTTGAAGAATCTGTGTTCTGTTCAACAAGAACCTTTCGCTCAGCCATTCTTGCAAGCACTATGTATGGATACAGCTATGCATACAACAGAAAAAATAAAGAGGGAAGATTGAGCACTCTAAACGATTTGCTGTCATGAGGCAGGACTTCCCAGAAGCAGTGATAACACGTTTGTCCCCCAGCCTCCATCCTAGCATGATAGAAGAATACAGCAACTCCTCCTACCCCATCTATTCCAACTTGTGCCCTCAACACGCAGGCTCTTAACTTCTCCAGACTCCTGGCTTCAGCATCTGTAAAATGCAATCGCTGGCTATAATATACAGGTGCAGAATGCCCAGGTCCCCTAAACATGATGAGAGTTTTTTTGGAGTGAGAGGAAATTCAGAAGTATATACAGCACCCTCTGCCTCAGAGAAAACTCCAATTAAGCATATGCACAGGGCTGACTCTAAAACCAGTAATTAGACAAAGCAGTCCTCAAGGTTAGCCTGTACTGAGATCTGGTGGCACATCCTGTAGCTCACACTCAGTCAGCTCGAGAAAGAAACGCCTGGATAGAAGAACCTCAGCCTGGAGACCGTGGGCATCCACCAGGGACTTACTGATGGCACAGGCTGTTCTCACCAGCTCAGAGCTAGGTCACCGGGGAAAACACACGCATTTCCCACCTCAGCCTAGCAGCCGAAAGACACTCCAGAGCAAGGCCATGCTAGATAGCATCTAGTTAGGAAAGAAGGCGCTCTGTGCGCTTGGAAGGCACGTGGAAGAATAATTAGGCCACTGTTCTCACTCGTGCCAGCGGGGGCTTCCCTGTGACGTGGACAGACTTGAGCAGGCCCACGGGCAGCGCAGCGGAGGGAATCCTGGGGAAACCCCGCAGCAGAGGCCTCCCTCTTCTTGGGATGGCTCCTTCCTCCGCCTGGAAGCTGGTGAGTCATCCCCTCCCGAGCTGAGGCTGCCGAAATCCTCCCACTCAGTCCTCACAAGCACCCTTTCCCCAGTCACAGGCAAAGGATGAAAGCACTCGAGGAATGCTTCATGCCCCAGGCTGGGGACCGGAACCCACAAGCTCCTCTATAGCCTCAGCAGCCAGAGGTCACTCAGGAAAAGTGGAGGTCTGCTCCACCGTGGGAGGGGAGGGGTATAAGCAGAAAAGGGAGGGGGCACAGACCGTGGCTGGGGGGAGGAGAGGCTCAACTACTTCACTACTAGGAGAAGACTTCCAGTGACCTGTGTCCCAGAAGCCTACCCTCAGGAACATCTGTGGAACAGCGCCTAGGAGGGGTTATCTTGGGGCTTGAGCAGCATGGAAATTCCTGAGATGCCCATCAAAATGAGGCCAGCAGGTCGGGGGAGGGGTGGCCTCAGCCTTTCTTCTTGGGTATTGCGTTGCAGGGATGTAAATGCAAATACAAATGGTCTACACTAAAGGGGCCACTGTCCCTTCCTAGATCCACGGCAGAGCTGTCTGCGATTGAAGCCTCAGACACTAAAGAGGCCCCACTGTCCCTTCCTAGATCCACGGCAGAGCTGTCTGTGATCGAAGGCCTCAGACACTAAAGGGCCCCCACTGTCCCTTCCTAGATCCACGGCAGAGCTGTCTGCGATTGAAGGCCTCAGACACTAAAGGGCCCCCACTGTCCCATCCTAGTCCACCGCAGAGCTGTCTGCGATCGAAGGCCTCAGACACTAAAGGGGCCCCACTGTCCCTTCCTAGATCCACCGCAGAGCCTCAGACACTAAAGAGGCCCCACTGTCCCTTCCTAGTCCACCGCAGAGCTTTCTGCGATCGAAGGCCTCAGACAAACAATGTCCTTGACCTCTGAACCAATCAATGACAAGAAAACAGACGTGGGTGGCCTGAGATTAAAAGTTAGGAAAGAAAAATAAAGTGAATGTGTGTCTATTTTCCCCACAGGGATGAACAGACCAGGAAGCAAAATAACCCGATTGTTATTGTTGACAAGTAAAGGGTCCTGACTCCTCCAGCCTGGGAAGAATCAGGACCAGTCTAGGAGAGTTCTGTCTGCACCCACACCTGCAGCAGGGCCTGGCCCGACGGTAGGCCTTCCTCCTCCAGTCCAGGACGCTTCCCCACACAGGCCCAGCCCGTTCGCATGTGTGGAAATGAATCGCCATGCTTTCCCCAGCTGCCAGCAAAGCCTCATTTGTCCTTAGCAGCAGATCATGGAGCCCAACCCAGCAGGGTCAGGGAGTCGTGGCCTCCCCAGCACCCTCTATCATTGTGCCACGCATCCAAGAGATGCGCAGGATATAGTTACAGAATCTTCCAATAACCACACTGGTCTTTGGGTCTCAGAAAGCTCTCTGTCCAGTCAGAATTCTCAAAACCACAGAAGACTTGGGCCCCTGAAAATGGGCATTTCTGGCCCACAGGCTTAGCTGTTTACTGGTCACTGGGACACACTGTCTGCCACTCAAGGACATTCTGAGAAGAGGTCTTTTCAAAATCAAAGAATCCAAACCCTTGAAGCCCGCTAGCTAGCTCCCTCTAGATACGGGAGGCACTCCTGGTCCAGATGGCTCCAGACAGAAGGAGGATGTAGCTAAGGCACTGTCCCCACATTGGGTATACAGCAACATGGCCCGGCATGGCACTCTGAAATGCATGAGCCCCAGCACTTCACGGGTCCTCCCGAGTTCTTCTCCAAGAATCCCAGTGTTTCCAAAGCTCCCAGACAAGGAACAAAGCCACATGAACACCCTGCTTTGCCTGGACATGCCCGCCCTCTTGATAAACACGTTCTGTCTTGTGGGTTTCTGTGCACCCCTCTAAAATAGGGACACACACAGACTGGCAGGGCCAGCAGGGAAGGGGCCAGTTGCCACATGGAATCTTCCTGGGAGATCGAGAGGCCAGCCAATTCCGAGCACACGTGGGCCATCCCTGGCTCTGTGCAGTTCCCACAGGAAGAAGGGCTGTTCGCAGTCTCTTGGATGAATTCAGCTGCTTGTTCCTTGCAGTGCAGAGTCAGAGGTTCAAGTCTCAGGGAGGCTCTGGGCCTGTGGGATCCTGAGGCTACAAGACTTCAAGATGGAATGCAGAGCAGTCCAGGAAGGCTAGGACGAGGCTGCCAAGCCTGGGGCTCTCCAGTCTCTCAGGACAGGGGCGCAGAGTCGGAGAGCTCCAGCGGAAATGCTCAGGGAGAAGGACATCCAGCCTGCAGGGCACAAAGCCACTGGGAGCCGCCTGGTCACCCCGTCAGCTGGAGCACCCACCCAGCTTTCCCTGGATCTGAGCAGCGCACCCTGTCTCAGAGCTCACACCTACGAAGCCTCATTGTACCCGAATCAGGCCGGTAAAACATGTGAGCTGTCCATCTATGACGAGTGACGTGTGATACGGTGGTGTGTTGCTGCCATGCTATGCATCCGAAGGCAGCAGCTGCACTGAGCATGTCTTCTACATTTACAGGGGCACACCCCTGCTGAGGACACAGCCACTAACTAGTGGCACGAGGTGGAGTCACCATGTGACTATACGTCAAATGCACAGCTCACCAGCTACCAGGTTTCATTAACCACGTCTCCCCTTTCCCCTTTTGTGATTAGTGTACATAAATGTAAAAGCAGCGGGTTCCATTATGACAGTTTCACACATGGACAGTCTACTTTAATTCATCAATTGTTTCCTAATTTAAACGCTAAACAGAAAAGAAGCCTAACGACAAGATGCTGCTGCCTCATCTTGGTTTTTCTGGGTTTAAGAATGCGTTTTGTCCTTGCCTCAACAACCTGTCCTGGACTCACCAAATTAACCATCCTTGGAGTCCATAAGAGGATGGGTCATTGGATATTATATCCGGTGACATATGTGACAGCTGATATAACATATGGCATAATACACTGATATACACATGATATATGATATGATAATATATGATATGCAATAGTGATTTTTTATATTTTTTTATATTTTTATTATATGTGTATGGGTGTTCTGCCTGCATGCGTCTGTGGGTCCTATGCATGCAGTGCCCATGAAAGCCAGGAGGGGGCAGGTGTCAGGGCCTTTCCTGAGCATCCTGAGCCACCATGTGGGTGCTGGAAATCAATCCCGAGTTCTCTGCAACAACAGCCAGCCTCTTACCCCACTGAGCGTCTCTCCAGACCCTAATAGTGATTTGATGTGACCTGTGATACCCCCTTCAGTAGAACACTTCTTCCAGCTGCCTTTTCCCGGGCTCTTGCATCCGGGGGTCCATTGATCTGGGGGTCCATTGATCTGGGGGGTCCATTGATCTGGGGGTCCATTGTAGGCGCCAGGGAGCCTTTCCACTCTCAGTCACAGGCGCTGTCCTGGAGAGCTATTCCCTGCAGAGCCGGGCGACCACAGCGCTGGCTCACTCCTGTTCCAAAGCCCCAACTGTGTGGTGATCTGTGTGCATGCTGGCACGTGGCAGTCACTTTACCCCGTCCTTGAATAACCTGCATGCCAGTACTTTCCTCTAAGCAGCCCCTGAAAACATCTCACGGGGATGACCCGACACTCCAGACGAGATGTCTGGATTTGATCTACCTTTGTCCATCCGTCCCACACTGGAATTCATCTCCATCTGTGACAAGGACAGCCCAGGCCTACCAAGAGAAGGCAGGCTGGGTCTCACAGGAGAACTCACTCCACGGGAACCCAGACTTCAGTCCGCCCTTCCCACAGAGCGCCTGAGGTAATCAGCTGCCCGGAAGAACAATGGCTGGCTTTGCATGGGCGTGTGCCCTCAGCCTTCCTCAGTGGCTCACGGAGCTCAGTCTCAAAGGTCCCTTGTGGGCACACTAGACACAGAAAGGATTTCTGTGGACAGAGAGATTCATCGTACAATGAGAGGAGGGCTCACCAGCACATCATCTCCCAATGCACGGGGGTCAATGTGACCAGCCCCCTCCCGCAGCCCTAGCCAGGCGCCGTGACAGGGCAACACTTACGTGATGGTGTCGATCATGTCAAGTCCCATCTCCACGCAGCAGTGGGCGTGGTCGGTCTTGGGCTGGGTGAGGCCCGACACACAGTAGTAGCAGTCCCCGAGGATCTTGATACGGCGGCAGTGGTTCTCCTTTGGGAAGAGCACAGCACGAGGTCATTGGCAGAGTTGCTGCTGGTGAGCATGTCTGCGTGTGGCCTTCGGTGGCCCGGGGCAGGCTCAGAAGGGTGCTGCCCTCACAGTGCCCAACGCCCTCACCTCTTTCTACTGGGATCAGGAATCTCTCCCACTTTCTCCACTGGGCCGACACTACCCGGACCTTCAAGGTCCAGGAGTAAGGCCACCTATTAGGAATGTGTCCCCATACACTTAACTTACACAGTGCTCCCAACCCAACCATGGTCCAGACCCTCTGGAAGGCGTGCAATCTAGAAGGATGCCACACCCACACAGATATGTCCCTGCAGCTCTGAATCGCCCACTCTGGAGCACATTTTCTCATTTATATTAAGATGTGAAGAATGCATGCTGAGTCCCCCACATCCGAAATGCTAAGGGCCAGCAGCACCTCAGATCTTTTTCTTTATTGTCGGATTTAGAAAGACTGTGCTGGCTGAGCATACCCAATCCAAAAGCTTCAAATTCCTAAAAATCTTTTTTGACTGTCACACGATGCTCCAAGTCTTGGCTTTGGAAGGACTTCACAGTCTGGATATTCAGGTTAAGACTGCTCATGCTATCACAGCACCTCGGAGGGGAATTGCTCACAGTGTCCCCTTGAACATCCATGCAGATGTCATGGACAGCCCCGGGGAAGATCTGAGATACCCCCTCCCAGGAAGGATGGGTGGATTTCAGCAAGGATCAAGAGTCAGTCAAACACTAGCTGAAACCTGACGCATGCTCACAGACCCACATATCATAGTGCCATTTTTATTTCAAGGAAACCGTTAGAATATGCAGCTTCGGAGCCAGGAAAGTGACGCAGCGGGTAAAGGCATTTGCCACCAAACCTGACCACTTGAGTTTGCACACCGGTGCTCACAAGGTGAAAGGAGAGAATCGAACCCTGGAAGTTAGCCTCTAACCCCCCACACACACACCATGGCACCCTTCCCACACACACGCAAAATAAAAACGTTAACCATAATTCAGTGGAAAGGGACAGTAGAACTCAGGTGGCATGAGGGGAAACACTTGGGATTAAAGGCTTAAGCAGAATAATATGGAGCTTCTGAAAAGGACAGGGTAGCCGGCAGGTTAGCAAAACTAAAGATCTATGAAAAAACATAAAATCCAATAGTTTCTAAACTAATTTCTTTTTTTATTATTATTTATTTATTTATTTATTTTGGTTTTGGAGGCTGTCGGACCCGCCCGGCCTCGAACTCATAGAGATCTGCCTGCTTCTGCCTCCCGAGTGCTGGGATTAAAGGCGTGCGCCACCACAAATTCTAAACTAATTTCTAAAAATAAACTATACATTTTTAAATGCTTTGAACAGAAGTACCCTGCACAGGTGGATAACCTGCTTCCAGAAGACATGGATTACCAAATGAAAATCTCAGTGCCAAGCACTGGGTACCTCCCTCTGAGTTACTAGAGGCCCAAGAGGCACCCAAAAACACGAATTTCTCTTGGCTGCTCACAACAACTGATGTTAAGACCGTACTGCTGAAGATACCACTCACTCTGGATGCAGGACACGGAAATCATCCTCACCCAGGAAACAGTCCCAGCTGGCTAGCTTACACAGTTGCAGAGGGAGTTATGTAGACTGCGGGGAGGGGGGGGACATCAATGGTCTACCCAGTGCTGGGTGCCCATGCTACAGTACTGACCTGCTGACATGCTGTGCCCACTGGTGAATAGCAGCACAGTGGTTATGCAGATTCCAGCCACTTCCTGATGAGATATGAAGCCCCCTCCACAGGGGAATTCATGCCTAGTGCTCTACACATGGTCAAAATCCCATGACTGGAGAGACCACAGGCCCTAGCAGGGAACTTACTGTTGCCGTTTTCTTAAATGGTCATACTATCAAACTGTACTATACTCTAAATATTTATGTTTATGCCATAGATTTTGGCTTCTCTCAACTTTGGCCGAAGATGCTTCCTTTCACAGTGGGTGGTGGCTGAAGGGTTGAGTACAATGGCACTCAGGGTTCGGCTATCAGCGAACTCGGTCATCGCGATCAGCCCCCACCGTCCAAGGCTCAGGGACTTCACAGAAGAGGAGGCAGAAAGAACGGGAGAGCCACAGGCTGGGGAGGAAATCTGTGTACAACAGCATGTCACATCCAGATCACCTAACAGCGGCCATGGTTACCTGTATACAATCAAGCAGGTCAAAATCCCAGCATGATGGGCCAGGGGTCACAGAGGATGTACCCCTATTGGAGGAGATGCGGTTGAGAGAGAAAGAGTCACTCTCCTCTGGGGACATGGCTGCTGAGAGGCTGCCCATACTGCAGCTGATGGCCTCAGACCCATACACATATGGGTAGCACTAATTAGATTCGGAGGTATTAATAGCAATGAAAAAGAGGACATGAAATTGGGATGGAGATGGCTTGGGGATCTAGGGGGCATTGGAGGGAAGTAGCGGTGAATGGATATAATCAATATCCATTATATAAATAAGACTTTCAAAAAATAATTTTAAAAACTTTAAAAAGCAGTTCTCAGACAGCTCCATTTCAGGTCCTTTTAACATCTGGAAATAATCAAAGCCATATCAAAAAGCCTTTGCACAGGTGGTTATAGCTGTTGACATTAGCCCGAAGCACCCACACTAAGAAGCTCTAAACAAATGTCTTTGAAGATAACAGTTGCAAAATAAATTATTTGCAATGCTAACTAAACTCAAGTGAGAATCCTGCCTCTGATGACCACTTCTGGAAGTCTTTGATATGTATTTTTCAGCAGACAGCCAGACGATTTGGTCCATGTCTGCGGCATGCTAGGACATCTAGGGAGTCAGTGGCCTTGCCTCCTGCAGGACACTTAGATGCAGACAGACTTCACAGACCCTAAGACATTCTCATAGCTCCACGGCATCCACTTTGAAAACACATCTACCATTCAGATAAAATTTTATGCTTGAATTTACCAACCAACTGTTCCCTGCAGCTTTCTCAAAGACTGCAAATTCACAAATGCCAGACATGCATGCGTCCACATGTGCACGAGAGCCTTGTGTTCTCTGGGGACACTGACCAGGACAGTCATTTTAGAACAGCTGATGCCACCTGGAACCTGACAGCGCGCACGGGTCAGTGCATGGTCCCAGTTCATCCGGCATCACTCTGGAGCGTTCCCCTGCCCCCAACCCCGTCCTTTCCCACCTGGTTCCTGCCCACCCGTGCTGGCAGACACAGCCTACAACAGATACTCACTGGGTACACTGCTTATTTTTAACATCAAAGGTCCTAGGCTTTGCCAGCAATCTTAAGGGCTCGAAAAGATGTTTTTAGTTGTTATTGACGATAGATCTTTAAGAGCTTCTCTATAAATGTGCCAAGTCTCTGTATGGAATCACTACAAGAAGCCTAGAGAGGGGTGGAGGGTGAGGGAAGGGGGTGGGGGCATCTATGATGCTTCTGTGGCTCTGAATTCTGGTTGGAAGGAAAGAAGGAGGAGGGAGATGTAGGAGGAGGAGAGAATGGGAGGGGCCTGAAGACACATTCAGTTCTTGGGACCAAGGACCAGGCATCAGAGACAGCTTTTCCTTCCCAGGCTTGGAAGGCACACGCCTTGCCAGAATAAGTAAGAAGCCTCCTGCTTGGCTTCCCAAGTGTGGCCTGGAGGGATCCAGACAGTCTTAACCAACTGTGGCCTTGCCTAGGTGGATAGCACAGGATAGAATCTAGGATGTCAGGCTCTCGGCACTCAATAGCCAGCAGTGGCTCTGACCGTGCCAGGCCCCAGCAACTAATCAAGTGTAGGGAAGTCTTCAGGTCATAGTAAAGCTATAGTAATTCCATGCAGAAATTATCAAATTAAGACCTACCAATTTGCAGGTATAGGAAGAAGCCATGAGCTGGGAGGCAGGCACTGCTGAGTATTGAGCCCTAAGAGGTCCAACCTCTGCTAGAGTAAGCCGTAAAAGAACCTACCAAAGAGGCCCAATGGTCAAGCCCAGTACCACCAACTCCCTGGTGTGGGGAAAGCAAGACTGGATTAATCTAGGTTTTGACCCTAAAGTCCAAAGTGGGGGCTGCAGTTAAGAGCACACACAGGCTGTTCTTCCAGAGAGCCAGAGTTTGGTTCTCAGTGCCCATCTGAACTCCAGTCCTAGGGGCTGGATGCCCTCTTCTGGCCTCCATGGGCACCATGCTCCCACCTGGCACACAATCATGCATGCAGGCAAAACAACTATACACATAGAAAAAATAAGCATTTAAAAAAACTTTACTAAAACCAGACTGGCTAAGACCTGCTGGCTGTGTTTGGAATAGGACATTTGAGACCACCATTTCTATACGACAGAGGACAAGTGCAAATACTCACCCACCACACCCACAGTTAGAGGGAAAAGTGCAGAACTGTCCCAGGGGATATATTAAAATGGGTAGAAAGTGAGCGGCTGAGGAGCTAAAAATCCAAGACCTCTACAGACATCTGTGCATCAACAGGGACTAGACCAGGCAAACACAGTCCCCAGTGATCGGTCTAGTGTTAGGAGGGACAGAAGGGAACGGGGTAGTGGAGTGGGGAACAGGCCCACACAGGAGGAGGGAGCAAGAGCAAACACAGCGGAGGGGGTTAACCAGTGCTGCAGGAGGAAAGGGGAAGTAGCCTCCTGCAGTGCATCTCAAGGGCTTTCATCGTGAAACTGGACTTTGATTGCAAAGTATATATACAAAAAAAATTGGACAGGAAAGAGTGATGTCCAAAAATCCACACCAAAATGAATAACCCACCTGGGAAAGGTGGTCACCCAGGGAAGAATTATTTCAAAGCACATGAAAACACTACTTCACCATCTAGCTGGTAACCTCGGCCAAAAACAAAAGTAAGCACTAGGAAACGTTACAGTGAACTCAGCAGCCTTGTTCTTGATAACTGACAATGTTATTTTGAACCTACTACATAGAGAAGAATGAAACAAATGGTATCATTGCCTCT